GGTGTGGAACTATGACAATCAACCAAGCAGATTTGTCGGTTACCAATCCAAATTATGAACTTGGACAAGTGAATAACACTAATGAAACAGTTCCAGGTATGTTGGTCATCTGTATTAACCAGAATTACTTGAAGCTAATAAAGTTTGGTATTAATTTCTGTGATATGTCTTATAATGAAATAAAATAAATAAATTATTTACAAGTTTATCAAGGTTACGAATATCAAGTAATATTCAGGAATAACTTCTCTCTAAATAAGAATCTGTGTTTCTCCTTCTAAAGGTTTTCATAATCTTAGTTCTTTTTATTATCTAGGTTATTCACATTTATACATTTATTTCTACAGATACACAGTTTTTTGAGTCAGATCCTAGTCATCTACCGCTGGGTGTCAGTATTCAGAATATGGTGAAAATTTACAAAAACGGCAAAAAAGTTGCAGTCGACGGATTATCGTTAAATTTCTATGAAAACCAGATTACATCATTCCTTGGACACAATGGTGCTGGCAAAACCACTACAATGTGAGTTTATTATTGTAGCAATTGAAGTAAACTGTGTAATACTTAAATTCTGATTAGGGTATTCTCCATAATTTACTAAGCATGTAAAGATAGACATGTATGTCTCTAGATAGCTGAAGTATTTTAACTTAGGAGATTAAGTTCTGTGTTTATGAATTTAGGCCATGTTTGAAGGAAGTTCAAAAACAAGGACTTGTTTCGACTTCTGTTCATCCATCTGCCATCCATCTAGAAAATGAGGACCTATGGAATGACCTATGTGCGTCTGTGTGTCCTTGCAATCAAACTTCACACATACATTATATACATATGCACATCAATTTGTTTCATGATCTGATTCAAGATGGCCGAATGGCAGCCATTTTTGTAATGAAAAATCATCAAAATCAATTTGTTGGACATTGTGGGACCTTGATGCGTGTAATTTTATTTTCAGATTGGATTTAAAATGGCCGACTGGTGGTCATTTTGTTTTAATGAATGCACTTCTAGAGCTATATCTCAGACATTCCCTGACTGATCATGTTCAAACTTTATATATACATCAAGTCACACCTATTCACATTTATTTCTATCATGATCCAATCAAAAAAGGCTGAATGGTGACCATTTTAATGTTAACCAAATTCAAGCACTTTTGCAGTTCCTGAATTGGATCTCAGTTGTGTATGAACAGATTTTGTTCAAACTTGATACATACATTGGACATTATGGGGGACTTTAATGTACATCAATTTGTTTGGATTTAAACTGGTGGGCATTTTGTTAGTACCTGTTCAGACGTAGTCTGAGCTCTGTTTTGAGCTTTATTATTGCTTTACATAAAAATAATCTTTGGAATCCTTTCTTGGAATTGATATGTGCATCCTATTTTACATAATAATAATCTTTGGAATCCTTTCTTGGAATTGATATGTGCATCCTATTTTACATAATAATAATCTTTGGAATCCTTTCTTGGAATTGATATGTGCATCCTATTTTTGGAGATACAGTTTGTCAAACTTTTTCTTTTTATCTTTAAGAATAAACTTTCTGCGTTAATTTCTCACATTACTAATTAAATGAACGACAATTTAAAGATTATAACTCTTAATGTCAATGGACTTAGAGTTATTAACAAAATGCATGTTATCTTTAATTGGTTGGAAAAACAAAAAGCTAATGCCGTCCTGTTACAGGAAACGCATGCGAACAAAGTAATTGAATTGAAATTTAAGTATTTATGGGGTGGATAGGCTTTTCATGCTTTTGGCACGACCCACAGCTGTGGGGTTGCTATTTTGCTTTCCACCAAGATAGATGTTAATATAATTAAATGTTGGCAGACGTTTACTGTTAAATTGTGAAATAAGTAAAAAAAAAATATACCTTTGTATCTGTATATGCCCCCAAATGTATGTAAGGATAGGAATTCTTTCTTCGCAAATTTGACTGACTGGTTATGCCAGGAGGATATTTATGAGTTAGTTATAGGGGGCGATTTCAACTGTATAATGAATATTGATCTTGACAAAAGGGGAGGGCGTACTACTAGTGTCTTGAATTCCAAAGCGGCAATAAGATCAATGTGTAGTTCCCTTAAGATTATAGATATATGGAGGAAAATTAACCCACTCTCAACAAAATTTACCTATCAACAAAAAAAATCCCCTCATTCTGACACGTCTAGATTACTTCTTCACTCTAAATATATTTTTGTGCCAGGCGACAGTTTCGGACATTGAGTGTCACTGTTGTCTCTCCTGACTTTTTTTTTTGTATGTGCAAATTGCAAGTGCTAGTGACGACACATAGTGCATTTTGCCACAGAAGTCATATTCATGTTTGGGACTACATGACAGGGCTGTGGGGCCATCTCTCTGTCAAATGGCAATTTGTAATACGATATCCTGGTGTCAACCAGGCCCGGTCGAACACAAGCACCTGTTCCCCCAAAGTAACATTCGTTAGTGAATGAATCTTGGCCAGTGGAATTGGCCTGCCCATTGAGTCTGTGGCACACTCACCCAGGGTAGGGGTCGACCCTTTGATGTTCAGCCTAAGGTAGGATTTGAACTTGGGTCTACCGATCATGAGTCTGGTGCAACAACCACTATGCTACCAGTGATCGGTTCTTACTCACTCTAAAAGATACGTGTGATATAGTCCAACACTGTGTGATCAAACCTGCCATAATGACAGACCATAGAGCAGTTATTCTTACAATTCAGCAAAACCATGAAAAAGGGGGACCTGGAATCTGGAGATTTAATATTAGTTTATTGAGCAATAATGATTATAAGGAAAAGGCTCGCAATGTCTTACAAAACTGTATAGCGAAATGCAGTAATGCCAATCTGCAAAGTCAGCTAACACTTGAATATTGCAAAATACAAATTCGTGAATTTACAGTGGGATATTCTAAAGAAAAATCAGCTAAATTAAAAGCTAAATTATCAAGTTTGGAAAAACAATTAGAATCACTAGAAAAGAAAATTAATACACTCTCGATACTGATATATTGAATGAGTATGAGAAAGTTAAGAATGACATTGAAATAATTTATCAGCACATAGCAGATGGTGCCAGAATTTGCTCGCACGTAGATTCCTATGTCAAAGGTGAGAGGTCAACTCGTTATTTCCTTAACCTTGAAAGACGTATTGGCGCTAAACACACAATTCTTAAATTAAAGTCAGAGAATTCTGAAGTTACTAAACAAAAAGAAATCTTGCACGAAGCCCATCGGTATTATTCTGTCTTGTACTCAACAACCAATATAAGTGATGAAAAGATTGATTCTTATTTGACAGAAGTTAAACTAGAGTCTGCACTAACTGATGATGACAGAATTATATTGGATAAACCAATTTCCCTAGAGGAATGTAAAATACTTGCTATGGGGAAGGATAAAACTCCAGGCTGTGACGGGTTACCAGCCGAATTTTTTTCGGAATTCTGGGATGTTATTGGGCAAACAGTATTTAACTCAATTAATGAAGGTCTAAAAACCGGAAAATTATCTGAATCACAAAACAGTGCAATTTTAAGGCTGTTGTGTAAAAAGGGTGAGCACAGTAGTCTAGATAATTGGCGTCCAATTAGTTTGCTAAATACAGACTATAAGATACTTGCATCTGTTATGGCTAGACATTTACAGCCAATTCTCGGACGTATCATTAGTACAGATCAAACGGCATATATTAAAAATAGATTTATTGGCGAAAATGTCAGAATCATTTCCGATATAATCGCTTATACTGATATGGAAAACATTCCCGGGGCAATTTTATTTCTAGACTTTTGCAAAGCATTTGATTCTGTGGAATGGAATTTTTTATTGAAAGTTATGCGTAAATTTGATTTTGGTAATAATTTCATTTCGTGGGTTAAAACAATTTATTCAGATTGTAAAGCATGTATTATCAATAATGGTTGGTTGTCAGACAAACTACACCTAACACCTGGTATCAGACAAGGCTGCCCTCTATTTTTACTTGTTGTGGAAATTCTTGCTTACAAAATTAGAGTGTCAACAGCACTTTCGGGAATCACCGTACAACTTGAAACTCTATTTAATAGGGAAATCCACATTTGCCAAGTTGCAGATGATACAACACTTTTTGTTGCAAACGAAGACTCAATTACTAAGGCCATTGACATTGTAGTTAATTTTAGCAATGTTGCGGGTCCTAAACTAAATAAGAGAAAAACAGAAGGTCTCTGGGTGGGAAAGTGGAAAAAACGTCGGAAAAAAATTGGCAATATTAGTTGGCCGATTGAACCAATTAAATTGTTAGTTGTGTATTTTAGCACAAGTGAACCCGATACAACCAAACTTAACTTAGAAGGAAAATTAAAATCAATTGAAAATGTCCTTAATCTTTGGAATACTAGAAATTTAACTATCTATGGGAAGGTGGTGATTATTAAAACCATGGCTGCTGCTAAACTTACATATGTGATGAATGTATGCGTATTATTGGTGAATACAACCAGGGGGGCTTGAATGCATTGGACATTTTTTCACAATGCAAAGCTCTAAAAGCATTCTGGGTAAATCGTTTAACAAACTGTTCATCTATTAGAAAATTACAATACAATTAAAATAAAAACAGTATTACAAGACACTAGTTAAAAAAAAGTTTATTGTACCTTGGGTAAATGAAATGTGGGAAAAAAAATACAAGCTAAATGTTTGTTGGGACAATGTATGGGTTGAAAGGACAATCAAAATTACCCAAGAGCGCAGATTATCAGCCTTTATGTACAAATTCCTGTATTGTATTTTACCAAACAATGATAAACTGTTTAAATGGCAGAAGACAGACTGCAAACTATGTCATATCTGTAATTACACAGAAACGCAATACCATATGTTTTGGGAATGTACACGTCTATGCAATTATTGGGCATGTGTGGGAGAGTTTATTAATAACAATACTAACTATGCGGTTTCTTTAACATTTGATGATCTTGTTGCTGGTGTATCAAACACAGACACATGTGTCAATCATATTATTGTAATTGCAATGTACTCTATCTATAAATCATGGTATGTTTGCCAGAGCAAGTCCATAAGCACATTCAAACTTTTTAATTGTTTTTGACTCCCATGTGCAAAGCACAAAATGGGAGTCTTTGCGGTTAGTGTGTCTGTATGTGTGTGTGTGTGTGTGTGTGTATGTGTATGGGTGTGTATGTGTATGTGTGTCCGTCTGTTCCACTGATATCTCAAGAACTATGCATCAGTTTTTGATGAAACTTGGTGCATAGATGCTCTGGGCTAATGCACAGATTTGATTAGGTTTTGGTAAAATTGCATGCATATTAATTACCTAATTTGCATGATAATAACTATTTTTTAGTTGTTCCATGATTGTTCCATTGATATCTAAAGAACCACTTATTGATTTTGATGAAACTTGGTACATGGATGCTCTGAACTTATGCTTGGTTTTGATTAGTTTTTAGTAAAAATTACCTAATTACTAATTACCTAATTTGCATAATGATTAGTCAATTTTCGTTTTTTCCACTGGTATCTCAAGTACTAATCATCACATTTCAATGAAACTTGATTAATAGATGTCATAGGACACTGCACAGACCTGATAGTTTTTAGGGTAATGTCAGTGCATATTAATTACCTAATTTGCATAATTAATTAATTTTCAGCTTTTGATGTTTCAAGTAGAAAGCATTACATTTCAATAAAACTTGGTACATAGATACTCAAGGACTATGCAGAGATTGATTGTTTTAGGATAAATTATTGTGTATATTAATTACCTAATTTGCATAATTAATTAATTTTCAGCTTTCACACTGATTTCTCAAGTACTAATCATCACATTTCACTGAAACTTAGTGCAAAGATAATGACAATAGGACAATGTACAAACCTGATTAGTTTGGGGTTAAAATCTGTTTATATTAATTCCCTAATTACTTAATAATTTATAATTTTTTTTGGTTCCAATCACATTTCAATAAAACTTGGTACATAGATGGTCTGTTACATTGCGCAGACCTCATTAGTTTTCCATTAAAATCTGTTCATATTAATTTTCTGATTTGCATTATTAGTTTTTGGCTTTTCCATCACTATTACTATCTCTGACAAGTAATTTTGAATTATATTTAATGTGTCTCCAATACTCTCAGCACATTCATTATTTAAATCAGAGCTCAAGTTTAGAATTAACATAATAAGCATAAAGCTAAATTAAAATGGGTAAGACTAGTTGAACTGGAATCCTCTCTCAATTAATAAAAAAAAAGTCTCTGTTGATTACAATGTAGCCACATTACTTAAGCGAAATAATTTTGTAATTATAATATATAATATTAACAGATACCACATGTATTATTTAAACAGATGATTATGATTGTACCGGTAATATATTGTAATATTAACAAATAAAAAAAAAAAAATAAGTTTATCAAACTTTTCAGATTCAATGTCATGTACGTGTCCTTGACCTTGCTTGATAAAAATATACAGTTTTGTATTTCATATGTAAGAACATCATCCATCCTTAAACTAGTCTCCATTATCAGTGCTGACCACAGTGTTTTAACTTATCCTTCTTACACGGTTTAATCCTTAGGTCTATCTTGACTGGTTTATTTCCACCAACCAGTGGTACTGCCTATGTTTACAACCAAGACATTCTGACCAACATCGATCAAATCAGAAAAAATATGGGAATGTGTCCACAGCATAATGTGTTGTTTGACCAGTAAGTAAAGCACTATTTTGATTTAGATTATACAGTCAAATCTATGTTAGCATCCATCTCTATAAAAAGACCACCTGCCTATAGTGACCATCTTTATATAAAGACCACCTGCCTATAGTGACCATCTCTGTATAAAGACCACCTGCCTATAGTGACCATCTCTGTATAAAGAACACCTGCCTATAGTGACCATCTCCATATAAAGACCACCTGCGTATAGTGACCATCTCCATATAAAGACCACCTGCCTATAGTGACCACCTGCCTATAGTGACCGTCTCTATATAAAGAAGACCTGCCTATAGTGACCATCTCCATATAAAGACCACCTGCCTATAGTGACCACCTGCCTATAGTGACCACCTGCCTATAGTGACCATCTCCATATAAAGACCACCTGCCTATAGTGACCACCTGCCTATAGTGACCACCTGTCTATAGTGACCATCTCTATATAGTGACCACCTGCCTATAGTGACTATCTCCATATAAAGACCACCTGCCTATAGTGACCATCTCCATATAAAGACAACCTGCCTTCAGTGACCACCTGCTTATAGTGACCACCTGCCTATAGTGACCATCTCTATATAAAGAACACCTTCCTATAGTGACCATCTCTATATAAAGGCCACCTGCCTATAGTGATCACATCCAAGTGAAACCAGTGTATAAACATTATCTGTTTTATGTGTTCGCTCTTTCAGCAAATTTTTTTTGTAGATTTACTTCTTTTGGAGAACAAAATAATAATTAGTACCAGTATTCTGTTTACACTACACATTTATTGTATACCTCTGTCATTTACGTATTATAAAGTGTATGCACTACTAATAGAGTAAATATGGTATACATATATTTCAACCTGTTGGTCATAACGCTTCCATATGTATTATGGTACATTTTATTTACGGAGTACATCCAGAATGTCAAATCACAGTTAAAAATTACTACCCTCAGTCTAATTATGAATAACAGTGATCGCTTATTTTTTTTAGTCTGACAGTTGATGAACACTTGTGGTTTTATGCCCGATTGAAGGGAATGAGCAACCTAGATGTGAAAACGGAAATGAGGCAGATGATAAAAGATGTTGGATTACCTCATAAACGAGATGAGAAAGCAAAACATTTATCAGGTAACCATGACTACCAGCATTAAATGTATCACGTATGTGAAACAATGGAATCAGGTTTTTTATATCTCAGTTTATCAATGAATTATACTAAGCTAATATTGGGAAAATGTTAATAATGTCATTACTTTTATTGCTACTTCATTGTATGTTTATTATTACAGGTCATTATTGTTCTTCACATTTCAGTAACAGACTCGGGTCTGAAAATATATCTTAATTTTTCTTAAATAAAGTTGGTAAAATCGTTATTTGATTTCAGGCGGTATGAAGAGAAAGTTATCTGTTGCTATAGCCTTTGTTGGTGGAAGTCGTGTTGTTATATTAGATGAACCTACCGCAGGTGTTGATCCATATGCTAGACGTAGTATCTGGGATCTACTCAGTAAATTCCGTAAAGGTAAGCATGTATATGTTGATATTCTTTCTCATTCTCAAGTCTCTGCTATTTATCAATAACACGCTATCATAATCAAGTTATGTTTCACAGTACAAAGATATATTTAGTTGCAGTATTTTTGCCTGTATACAAAATGTGTTATCTGCCATTACAGCTAAATCAGTTTCCTAGTTTTACCCCTCTTTTACTGAAACACTGTCTATGACATTGTATGGAAATATCTCTATTTGTTGTCATCAGGTCGTACTGTTATCCTCACAACACACCATATGGATGAAGCTGATCTTCTTGGCGACCGCATCGCTATTATCTCTCAAGGAAAACTCAAATGCTGTGGTTCATCAATGTTTCTCAAGAGTCAATTTGGAAATGGTTATTATCTGGTGTTGGTGAAGAAATCTAACAGATTAAGCTGGGCTGGTAGCGCGAGTGGAATTGCTGATAAAAAGAAAGTTAATCATGATGAGGTAATACATAATTGTTTACAGCATGCTAGTCAGTGGCAAAAAAAAGGAGCATTTGATTTTGTCAAAGTTTACAATATGCGATCACTGTTGAATCGAGCAGACATGTCATGTGATCACTGTTGAATTGAGCAGACATATGTCATGTGATCACTGTTGAATCGAGCAGACATGTCATGTGATCACTGTTGAATTGACCAGACATATGGCATGTGATCACTTTTGAATTGAGCAGACATGTCATGTGATCACTGTTGAATTGAGCAGACATGTCATGTGATCACTGTTGAATTGAGCAGACATGTCATGTGATCACTGTTGAATCAAGCAGACATGTCATGTGATCACTGTTGAATTGAGCAGACATATGTCATGTGATCACTGTTGAATCAAGCAGACATGTCATGTGATCACTGTTGAATTGAGCAGACATATGTCATGTGATAACTGTTCAATCAAGCAGACATGTCATGTGATCACTGTTGAATCAAGCAGATATGTCATGTGATCACTGTTGAATTGAGCAGACATATGTCATGTGATCACTGTTGAATTGAGCAGACATATGTCATGTGATCACTGTTGAATCAAGCAGACATGTCATGTGATCACTTGAATTGAGCAGACATGTCATGTGATCACTGTTGAATTCAGCAGCCATGTCATGTGATCACTGTTGAATTGCACAGACATACATCATGTGATCACTGTTGAATCAAGCAGACATGTCATGTGATCACTGTTGAATTGAGCAGACATGTCATGTGATTGCTGTTGAATTGAGAAGACATGTCAAGTGATCACTGTTGAATTGAGCAGACATGTCAATGTGATCACTGTTATTGAGCAGACATGTCATGTGAT